AGAAAGAGTAGATGAACCTAGTCTAATGTGACGAACCCAAATTCATTCCCTAGTAGATCTATCCTGAAGGTATGGAGCGGTTCAATACTAGAAGACTAGGTTAGGGGGAAAAAGAAGAAGCCAGGAGATGAGGCCCCAAGAGGGGGTCATAGGCCTGGTATTCTGCCTGTCCATTCCTTCACCGCCTACCACCCCGCTCACATGATCCCGAGTATCAGCGCCGTCACACGCGAGAGTTTTTTTAAATCTAACCTTAAGTAAGGTTATAAAGTAAGATACTAAAGTAGATATATAGATAAAATAGTTTATAATAGTGATACTATAATAGAGATATATAAAGTATAGTATAAAGGGGTAATAAAGCTATAAAGAGTAGAGGTAGTTAAAAAAAATAAAATATTAGGAAAAATAATAAAGTAAAATAGACTACCTATAAGTAAACCTAAATACTTATAAAAAAATATTAAGCTACTCTAACTATAAAATAAATAGAAAAAAGAGGTACTAAGACCTAAAAACTAGAAACTATATAAAGGGTTATTATATAGAACTATAGCTCCTATAATATATATATAGTTATTATAGAATACTATAGCTTCCTATAGGTAGTAAGCAAAATAGACTAATTAGTATATAAATAAATACAAGTATACAAGTGTATTTGCAATGACATGTACATTATTTAGATTATCCTTAGAAAGTATAGCTAGGTTTAATATTAACCTTAGTATTAGATATTAATAGTAGATATAAGCTATTAAAATTAATATAGTATTGATAATAGCCTACTCTATATATATAATATTACTATAGTAGTTCTAGATTTAAATATATAATTAATTATTAAAGAGTATTATAAAAGTGTAAACCTAATAGGTATAAGTATATTAAATATTAGTAAACTCTAAATTATAGGGTTTAAAGATATAACTATTAATATTATAATTTATAATATTATTAGTTATAATTCTTATAATATAAATTATATATTATTATATTTATTTAGAGGGTAATACTCCTTCTAAGCCTAGTATAGTTAATTTTTATATAAGAATATTAGGCTATTAATTAAAGGGGTTATAGTTATAAACTAGGCTATTAGAATAGCTATAATAGTTAAGGTTACTATAATAGTTATAAATATAGTAGCTTACCTAGTAAGGGGCTATATTATAATATATAATTCCCTATCTAAGGTCTAAAATATTATTAATAACTCTAGAGTAGCCTTTAAAGAGTAAATTATATAATTTTAGGGATAGTAGCCCTACTAATGTAATCGGACACCGAGCTGCCATGTCATCCACCACCACCCCCTAATCAAATTTGATGCAATTTGTTTTCAACGCACCATGCCATAGCTGATATATCAAAGGAAGGGCATATGCAATTGGCAATTAAGGCCTATAAGAAAGGTCTTTTCTCATCAAAAAAGGCAGCTGCAGATGTGTTTGACATGCCTCAAAGGGCCCTTAGGACATACCTTAATGGGAGCACTTCTTGCAAAGATTCAATAGCAAATTGTCAAAAATTGACAGATACTGAAGAAACTATACTCTCAAAATGGATTCTTGATATGGACCAATATAGCCTACCTCTGTGAATTTCAACCATATGCTATCTGGCACAGCTATTGCTCTCCGCACAATTATCCTTAGATGCTACTGCTACCATTGGTGAGAAATGGGTGAACCGATTCATTAAGCACCATAATGAGCTTTACTCTAAATATACCTGAAAGTATGATTATCAATGAGCAAAATATAAAGATCCAGAGCTTATTAAGGGGTGGTTCAAGCAGTTTTATAATATTATTCAAAAGTATGGGATCCTTGAGCAAGATGTCTACAACATGGACAAGACTGGCTTCCAAATAGGTGTGATTTTAACTGCTAAAGTTATCTGTGGATCAGAAACACAAGAGAGTCATGCAAAAGCTATACAGCCTGGGAATTGTAAATGGGTTACTGAAATTGTTGCAGTAAATGCAGCTGGATAGGCCTTACCTCCACATATTATTCTTGCAGCAGAGAATCACCAATCTCAATAGGATTAAGCTATCCCAAAGGACTACCAGATCAGTGTCAGCAAGAATGGCTGGACAAATAATGAGATAGGCCTTGAATGGCTTCAGAAGACCTTCAAGACCTATACAGCTTCATACACAGTTGGGAGATATCACCTATTGATTCTAGATGGGCATAGCAGCCATGCTACTGCAGGATTTAATAAATTCTGCACAGAGAAGAATATTATTCCTCTTTATATGCTATCACATATGTTATCATATTCTTCTCACCTGCTCCAACTGCTTGATATCAGCTGCTTCTCGCCATTAAAGTGCCTATATGGCCAGAAAATTGGGGAGATGATACAGAAAGGAATCCATACCATTGACAAGGAATATTTTCTATATATCTATCCTACAGTCCATTAACAAGCTTTATCAGCATCAAATATCTGAAGCAGATTTGCAGCAACTGGCCTAGTTCCATTTTTACCTGAGAGAGTGCTTTCAAAGCTTCATATCCAGCTCAAGACACCAACACCACCTTCTACAGTACACAGTAATCAATCCTTTGGCCCAGGCAAGACACCAGCTGATATCTACTAACTAGATTAGCAAAAGAAGCAAATTAAACATCACTGAAGTCATCAATCAGTTTCTCCTTCTATAGTGG